GATACCATCAATAAAGCAAAAATGGAAATACAAGGGGTAGGCCAATGTCTCTCAGTGGTCAAGGCAGAGGTCCACCTTGAAAACATATGTGTCTTGATTTGGAGAAACAGATCTCCTTCAAGCCATTCAAGTAGCTGAGACCTCCGGGGATTTCAGGATGCAGAGAGAATATTTGTTGGACTCAGGGAACTGTAATTATGATGATAATTATAAATTATTATTGGATGTATATTAGGTGACTGTGACTGGGTTAAGCTTGTCATGTGAATCCCATAATTCTCACAAAACCCAATGGGATACACCCCAGAGGTCCACAGTTATGGACCAAAACCCTTGGGGAAAGAATGAATTTTGGAATCCCAAAAGTTATGGATTCTAGAAAGACAATATGGTACATAGACCATATATTTTGTAACCCCATTAGAAGTGTTTTTAGAGCAGGATACTGAAATCAGACGATAGTATATACAAATTAAACTATATAAACATTTACACTAGAATGGGATAAAAGAAGACAAAAACAGGTAGTGTTTTGGCACCAAATAAAATTGTTGTAAATCTTAAAAAATATTTTCCTAGATACTTTGGATTTTAAATTTGTGTATGAAGATTTTGGACCCAGTTTTTCCTAAAATTTATATCTAACATTAGTGTGGTACATTTGTCACAATTAATGAGCTAATGTTAATATAAAATTATCACCTAAAGGTCACACTTTATTTAGATTTTCTTAGTTTTACCTAATATCTTCTTCCTTTTCCAGGATATCCCATCACATTTAGTTGCCATGTCTCCTTAGGCTCCTGTGGGATCTGATAGCTCCATACTTCCCTTGTCTTTGATGACCTTGAATTTTGAGAAGTGCCAATCAGGTAGCTTGTAGAATGACCTTCAATTGGAATTAGTCTAATGTATTTCTCAGGGTAGGACTGGGATAGTGAGCTTAGGGGAGGAACACAGAGGTGCAGTATTGTCATTATCATATCATGTATTGGGTACATACTATCAACATGACCTATCACTGTTGATATTAACCTTGACCATGTGGCTGCAGTAGTATTTGTCATGTTTCAATATTGTATAGTTATGCTTCCCACTTTTTCCCCTCTCAACACTCACTATACCAAATCCACATTTCAGGAATGGAGAATTATATTCCACTTTACCAAGGGTGGAGTATCTGTGTAAATTATTTGGAATCCTTCTGCCCAAGAGATTTGCCGAGTCCCCTTTATTTATTATTCTTTTAATCACATATGGATTTGTGGAAGTTTATTTTATACTCTGGGTTATAATCTAACATTATTTGGTTTATTTTGTTTAAATAATTTCAACTTCGGTCTTCGGGAGTTCTATCAATAAACTCATCTTATCCCCTGCCCAAACCCTAGAATCAGTCATTTCTTAATGAGCTATGATCCTTTTACTGAAGAATGATATTAGGAACCAAGATCTAGGTGTTCGATGTGCTCATTGCTACCAGAGGATTTCCAGGGCCCTTGTTTAATATTTACCTCCAGGAAGAAAGAGGAGGTATCTAATTTTTAAGTCAGTGTTCCCCAGAATTTATAAGATGAGAAATACCAAACCTATGCGGGAGCTGATGACACATACCTAGAATTCTGCACATTATCCGCATGTAATGCTGGCATAGTCTCTTCTTCATATCTTATATTCCTTTGCAAAATAAATATTAATGCAATAATTTCTGCTTTCTCAGAGACAGACAGAATGATAGATCTAGTAAGAAGCCACTATTAAGGAAGAAGAAGCCTCTAATGACAGGACTAAAACAGCACAAAATAAGTTCTCACAGGAGACCTGAACCACTCAAAACTTCCTTTGTGTGATACAAAACAGTGTGCTTTGATGGTGGGACACGGGAAGAAGCTAGAAGAGGCTTGGGGAGAGCATGCTATTTTCTTCCCTGCTGAACAGTTCCAGTGACTTAGCATGTGACAAGCTCTCAGTTATTATCCAAATGAAAATGCCTTTCTGAAGCATGGCATGTCTGCAAGTTGTAGAAATGACAACCAGTCCGAGAAAAAGCTTTTAGCACATTCTCAGCGGTAGCTGAACATGAAATGCGTGGCCTCTGTCTGTTCTGCTGAGAGGTTATTAATGGAGACCTGCGGTGTGATTATGTTATTTTTGAGGGTGAAGGAGAATTTTGCACGTCTTTAGCCTTATTTTACTTCAGTGTTGCTTATATCCTTATTCTACAAAGGAACCAAATTTAAAATTCACAGAAATGCATGATGCATAAAATCACGATGTCATAGAGGATCAAAACCAATTTTGATGTTTTGGAGAGTAGAAAATAACATTTAGGCAAAAGTAGATTTAACATATGGAATCTGAATTATGATATGGGCAAGGTAGCTGTTTTTGTTGTAATGTACCCTGTGAATTACAGAAGTACGCCTCAAGAAGTTGAATTAAAGAGTCACATTTATTGCAATCCGGGACTATGAGGGGCCATTTTGCTTTCCCAAATCCCATCACAAGATGGTCGCAGCTCCAAGGTTATATAGGCAAAAAATCACAGAGGTATTGATTACATCCCAGGGTTTGGAATGAGGAACCTGGTTCGCAAAAAAAAAAAAAAAAAAAAAAAAAAAAAAAAACAGTTTACAGAAGCAGAATTAAGCATGTTAATTATAGTTTTGGGTCTCAGGGTCAAACACATTATGTAGAGCCCTCGGATCTATAACGAGGAACCTAGTTTGCAAAAAGCAGTTTACAGAAGCAGAAACAGCATGTTATCTAAATTACAGTGTTGGGTCTAGAGCCCTCTGACCTTGTGATAACTGTGCTGTCCTTCCCAGGTAAAGGAAAATGTGCTTTCTAAGACCAGTATGACCACAACCCATGGGATAGTCACATTACAATCAATAAGGCGTTTAATCGAATGGGATGATTTATATAATTCAGAAAATCAAAATAACTTTTCTATTGTTAAGCCAAACAACAGGATTAGAGTTAAACTACAGTTTCTACCTGAGATGGTTATTGCCATACTTCAGTTTGATTTGTGAGAAACAAGTTCCTGGCCAGCAATGCAGGCCCAACTTCCAAATGTTCTCAAGATCTGGCCTGTCGCAGAACACGCCACACCACTGAAACGCTAGGACTTGGACTTAAGGCACCAAATGCCAACTTGCATGCTCTCAAGTAAGAGAAAGCCACTAGACAGATTCTCCGAGCCGCCACCCAGAAGCCAGCTGACTCAACACTACTGAGACAATCAGTGGTGTTATTACCAGGTCAAGCCCTTCTTACCAACATAAAACAAGGAATTCTAGAACGCCCAAATGGGAATGCATGACACACACCAGTCCTCCCAAGTTTAAAGTGCAAGATCAGTGGCACTGCATAGAATATAGGATCTGCTTATTAACCTGCTTTGCTGGAAGTTTGCAGAAACAAGGACATATTGCTCTGAAATGTCAAAACTGCTGATTTCAGGATAGGGCTGTTTCATAGGTACTTTCCAGGTCATTTTTCAGAGCCCTGGCTAAGTGCCCCTCATGCTGGAGATGTGACTTAAATAGGGAACAAGGCTGATGGCTGTTGCTACCTGCAGGCTCTGTCCTTGCCCTGACTGCTATGCATCTGAGAGGAAAGAGATTAGAATACCATCAAAATTAATGGGATGCTATTTTCATGTCAGCAGATACAATTTCATGGAGGTTTCATAAACAACTGCAAACCCATCTGCCCTAGTGACAGGTTATTGCAGGTCGTTGAGTCTGTACGGTCTGTCATTCAGGACGAGGCCCATTTCCTGGTCATTTCTGTGTGCCTGCTGCCTTTCATGGTGGCTCATCTGTAGATTTACCCCACTTTATAATACTTGAACCAACCAGGCCTTAAACCAACCAGACACTGAGATTTGGACTGTCATGAGAACGGCTTTACTTATTTTTTTGTCTTGATTCCCCACATCACAAACAACAACTCGACATATTGTGACAGAGAACCGGAATAAAGCAAGCAATGCTCAGAAAGTTTGGAGTCACTCTTTATTCACCGTGGTGGGCTCAGAGAAAATGAATTCAAATCCTAAGCAAAACTACAAGCAGAACTTCCCTTTTCATTAAAGAGCCAGCCCTAGGTGTGCTTAGTGGTTATCTTGCTGGTGGCCTTGGGAACTACACAGTTCGATCCAATTAAAAAATGCACCTGGCCTGGCATTGAGAGTATGGGCGTCTCTAGTCTCTGGCCTACAAGGTCAGGCAGCTAAGTTTATCTTCCTCATTATTCAAGCAGGCTAGAAAGCAAAGTTTTGTGTGTTTTTTTCAAGAATAAGAGGCCATCTAAAAAATAGCAGAGAATTCCAAACAGTAGTTTTACAAAACAGGGGTTAGCCTTCTCAATATCAGCTGGTTTCCTGTGGCACTATTCTAAGTGCTTTGCATCCTAATTTATTGAACCATCACAGCAAACCTACACGGTTCTACTGTCACCTTTACACAAATGAGTAAACTGAGGCACAGGGGCAGGAAGTAACTTGCCCAAGATGCTGTGGCTGAGCCCTGATCTGAAGTCGTGAAGCTGCATGTCTGGAACTGGGCTGTCAATAACCCCCACATCCCTCACCCGCCTACCCCCCAGCTACTCAAGGTGCAGATGAGCTTGCAGGAAGATGCAAAACTGCCCCCCACCCCCCCACCCCCTCACCCCCCACTCAAAATTTTTGGCATTTCAGTACCCAAGTAGCTTATATCTCTTGATTACTACAGCTGTTTACCAAGATCCACTTTGTTGATAATCAACTGAGACTTCCATCTGTTTTTATATGTTTAAAATAAATCCCTCCTTAGAACATTCCACTTTGAGAATTTCAAATGCCTCTAGTAATGTGGGCTAGATTTCTCCTTCTAAGGATACTATTTGTAAGCAAAGTTGCTGTCCATCTGTAAGGGGCAACCCACGGAGACGACCACCAGCGACTCAGATCAAAGATTTAGGAGCCTTTATTAAACTGCCCAGGGACTACAGTTACAGCACCCTGCCCAAGCAAAGGCTGAACTGCAGCCCAGACTATAGGAATTACAGCATTTTTATTTGCAAAAACCACAAAGTTACAAAAACCTTAGTTCCTGACACAGTATAGTATCAATACCTTCCTATCTGTGTGTTTTAGGAACAGAGAGCACAGCACGCCCCATCTGGCGGAAGCGCCAGATATGCAGCCCAGCACACATCCACCTGGAAATCCTAGAATTTGAAGGACATAAGTGAGTAAAATATTCAGACGTAATTAAGTCTTTCTGCGTCTTTATCGTATGTGTCTAAAAGACAATTAAGTACTTTCTGCTGCGATGGAGGACAATGCCCGCTTCCATCACAAGCCCGGCCTCCCCAGCATTCAGGCAGGTCAGCGGCTCGGGTGTGCTCCCTCCTCTCCTTGTGAATTTCGACAGGAATGAGTGCAATTCCCTTGAAGGCCTTCGCGGCACTGAAACCTCACTTCTGCTGACAGCCTTGGTGGTGCAGCTCTGTCTTTGGCTGTGGTCGCTGTTTGCGCAGCGGCAGGTCTCTGCTGCCTCCTTCCCCCAGGCCCAGCCCTGCCCAGCGGGATAGAGGCTGCGCCAGTGGTTAAAGGTCCCAAGGCCTCGGCAGACCTGCTTCCAACCACAGCTTGCCATCCGTGTAATAGTCCTGGAATCCTCTCGCTTCACCTGCGTCAGGTCCTCCTTTGTCCAAAAGCTGTTTGTTTGCTGATTCATTGATTCCCTCGGTCAACAAAGTGTTCCCAGGCGCTGCGGGCGGCAGGCGCGGCCCAGACACCGCGGAGCCTCCCCGAAATTAGCCAAGTGTCGTCCAGCTGGAAATCGCGCGGGTCTGGTTGGGATTAAATATGAAGAATGTCGGCAAGGCCTTCCGCGCCTGGGGCATGGCTGCCTTAGGAACTGACCCAGGCGTGCCCTTCCCTCCTGGCCTGAGAGGGGAGCGAGCTCCTTTTCAGCCCCAAGACCCCATCATCTCTGGGAACCAAAGAGGAACAGCTACCGAGCACAGGGAATTGGAGAGTGTGTGGACCGGCACAGGCGGGGGGTTGATTTTGCTTAATGCTGGATGGGAAGCTTCGCAGAGGCGGGTTTGATCGTTTATATTTGACCAGAATGGAAGGAAGCGGAGGTCACAAGTAGACACAAAAGAAAGGGCGCCCTGGGCTCTGGAGGAGGTGCGTGGCCGTCCAGGGGGAAATCAGAGGTGCGTGCCCTGCCCGGGGGCTCTCGTGAAGCTTGGGGTACACCTGCAAACACCTTTCTCCCCCTCTTCAATGGGGTGGGGAGCTGGGTCTGCAGCTTCTAGAATGACCCCCATCAAATGCAAGCCGGTTTCCTTCCTCCTCCATAATTCTCCGGGTCCTTCTCGCATCTCAGGGACCTCCTCGCCCCCCCCCCCCTCACACACACACACATCTGACCTGGAAGCTGAGCACTCCCTGTGTTTCCTGTTGGCTCCTGCTGATGGTCCTACAGTGAAATGAACAGCCCTGTTTTCTGTCTTTAGGGCGCAAGGGATGTCACAGGAAAAGAAGCAGCATGCTGCTTGGTGTCTCGAGCTGTAAACCAGGACAAAGTCGCTCTTCATGTATCACCTGCCACAATAAGAAAAGCAAAAACAAAACACGCTCCCATGTTTATTCACACAGGCCTTCCCGGAGCCTCCACTTCCTGCCCCGGCCCTGCCTCCTCTCCCTCCTCTCCCCTCCCTCACTTCCCACACATTCCACCTCTCCTTCTTTGACTTTTTCCCTGTATTTTTTTTATTCTCCTCCCTGACAGAGGATTGCTGTGGCGGGTTGAGCGCTGTGTTCACTGCCTTAGCAGCTTCACCTGGCTTCCCAGGTGGCCCAGGCAGTCAGATCCAGGAGAAATCTGCTCTTCCTCCAACCAGCTCCATCAGAGTTTCGCAGGTGAGACAATGCGATCTGGATGCACCGTGTGCAATTGTCACCGTTAAGAAAGAATAAAAGATATAAAATATGGAAATATCAGTGTGAGCACACATACACTTGCTAATAAAATTATTTTTGTATAGCATATGTACCCCACATTCATAAACATTCAAACAGGAATTTTGGGGGTGGAAAAGACAGGTTTAGAAAATTTTAGAAGTTAAGAGGACCATGGAAGAAGCACAGGGCCGCAAAGCAGCAGAAGGTGTATTTCCATAGAATAGGGGAGCTGAAAAGCTGCAACAGGTACATTTCCATAGAATGAGGGAGCTGGGAACAGCAAAAGGTCTATATTTACAAAATAAAGGGAAGGAAGCCCTTCAACCAGAAGGAGAAGAAGAAAGCCCAAAGGGAACAGGAAACAATAAAGAAGGAGGGGGGGAGATCACATGTCCCATGTGAGGTCGGACCTTTGAGCTCAGAAGTTACTATAGTAACCAGTCCAAGGGAATAGTGACCAATCACAGGGGATATCAAGGCACAAAGATCTGTAGCCTTTATAAACCACAGGGAAAAGGAAGTCAGTGGAACTCTTCTCCCTCCCTATGAGGGAGTCCATTCTGTGGAACTCTTCCCCCTTCCCCACGTGGGTGGCAGACTGCTGTGGGAATCTTTCCCTTTCCCCACGTGGGAGTCTGTACTTGTTCTTCAATAAATTTCCACCTTTGCTAGACCACCTCCTATCCCAGGATTCATTCTTTGACTCCAGTGGACAAAGAATCCAGGACATCCTGCCCAGGGGAACACAGCATGTTCCAGTCCAAAAATTGTGCTTCAATATGATGATGATGCATATTTTCAGGAAGGGAAGCATGTGACATGCCAGTATTACTAGTACTAATATTAAAATGTAGGACATATATAGTTTTTAAAAGTTTCTGAAATAAAATCTGATTCAAACTAGTCGCTATCATTGAGTCTTGATTTTGGCTTCTGCCAGTAATAATATTATGTCCCACCAACTCCCTAGCCCCACTGCACTGACACCATTTAAAGAACAGGCTGTGTGTGTCCTTTTGCTCTCTCTGGCTTTATAATGCTGATCCCTACGCCTGGCAGGCTTCCCATGTCAGCCTTCCCTCCCAACACCATTTCCTCTTCCATCCCCTGAACACATACCAACACCTGCATGTACATACAGTGTGCATGCATAGCACTAACAAGTGCTTAACTCTGTTTATTGGATAAATGAATGCATTAATGAGTAAAAATGTATTGTGGCTACATTACTAAGTTGCTATGTGATGGAGGAGAAGTAAAACTAATAAACTCTGATTGACCATCCCAAATCTGTGGGCTAACTTGTCCCCTTGTAAGAATGGTAGCTGCATGGTCTGTTCTGTCCCCTCATCCCCCAAAAAATACGATTTTCCAAATGCTGTCTGATGACCTGGCATTAACAGACTATAGCTTTCTTTGTTCTAGAAGCTTCTTTATTCAATGAAAAATTATCCATTACAAATGCTCAGAGAAGTTAGGTAGTACTGAAAATAGGTGATGGAATTTAGCCATTGGGAGATTATTGTTGGTTTTTTTAGAACAATTTTTATTGTTGTGAAGTTACATTGTAAAAGGTTGAAAATAAAAGGTCATTCTAAGAGTGATTGATGATTTCTGGTTGTAGAAGGTAGTTTACAGACCAAAGACAGTGATGGTCTGTTAATGCCAGGTGATCAGACAATTGTTCACCCTCACTCCCTCTTTCTAGAAACTCTGTCCTGATATCTGTATCCCACTCTCTCCCCTGTCTAGTAACCCTGTGACATTCCTGCTCTTTTCGTTTCTTGGATTGTCCTTTGTAAACTGACTGTGTGTTAGGGATCCCAGACTAGGATCATCTAATCTTGGGCCAAATAATCTCCCTTGGAGATACACTCCCATTGCCTTCCTTACATACAAATTATAATTATGATTTTAGTTCTCACCTGTTTTCCAGCCTCTAAATCAAAATTTCTAATAGTCTCCCGGGAAAATAAACTTTGTGCTACTCCAAATTAGCATCTAGAACAAAATTTGTAACACGCCTGCCTCCACATGCAGAATGCCCCCATACATCTCCATCAGAGAGGAAGTGTGTCTAGTTTCAAAAGCATGGACTGGGGCCACACACCTGTTAAAATGTCACTCTCTTCACTACTCTGGTTCTGTGACTCTGGACAGTTGCCTAGCTTGTCTGTTTCACTTTCTCACATGTAAAGTGGGGATTATAATAGCACTCTCTTCTTAAGATTGTTATAAAAATATAAACAGGTTATTCTGAAGGGACGAGGACTACGCCCTCCATCTTGCCCCAGGGTAAGGGCTACGCCCTCCATCTTACCTTGGCCATGTGCTCAGCAAGGCTTCTTCCCGGAAGCCTGAGCCTCTGCTGGCCACACCCAGGACTTCTTTGAACTAACCAATGACAATCAAGGGAAGTCGCCATAGATATGACCACATTCTGTGTGACAAGACACCGACTTGCACCTGGCCAATCGGCAGGGCCCACAGTCCTTTCTCCTGCCCTTGCTCCAACCCCCCCTATAAAACCTCTCTCCACACAGAGTTCTCTCTCTCTGCCACTTGGCTTGCCGTTGCATCAGTGAGTGTGGTCGGGGAGCCGAACTAGTTCAAATAAAGACTCTTTGCTTTTGCATTGGACTCGGCTGGCTCCCTGGTGGGCTTTTGGGGATATTGAAATCTGGGCATAACAATTCATGTAAAATATTTGGAAAAGTGTTTCCATGAATTGAATGTTTGTGTCCTCCTAGATTCATAGGTTGGAATCCTAAACCCTTGGTGTGGTTCTATTAGGAGGTGGGCCTTTGGGAGGTCACGATGGTGGAGCCCTTATGAATGGGATTAGCGGCTTTAAGAAAAGACATTACAGGGTTCACTTCCTCTCTATCTGCTCTCCACCATGTGAGGATACAAGGAGAAGACGGCTGTCTGCGAACCAGGAAGCATGTCCTTGTAAGAATTTACCAGGCGACCAAAAAATACACAGGAGTACCCGTAGATACAGGAAAAAACCCTTTATTTCCTGCTGAATTAGTACCGTGACTCAGGGGACCCTGTTTCCCAATCCTGAGCAAACCAATATGGGAAAAGCTTTCTCTTTACCCTTTGGTTTCTTTGTCCCCCAAATAAGGATCAGACTTCCGGACCTTTCGCAGGCTTTGCAAAAAGCCCTGTGTGTTGGGATGGGGGCCATGAGACCACACCTAAAGACCTGGCCTGGCGCCAGTGCTGATAACCCCCTCTGGGGATTGTGTATGGTTCATGGCTTATGGCCTCTGTAAAATGTAAGTATTTAGGTAAACAGGTCTTGCAAGACCAGATAATTAAGGAAGGGGCACTGACTTGATTATAGGCTAACAAGAATGTGCATTAGGTTACTGATTAACTAGGTACAGAGTCAGATTGCTAGCCCCCTCCAAAAAATGTATTTTTATGTTCCCCATCATCCTCACTAGACATGGGATCTGCCAGTACTCTGCTCCTGGACCTCCCAGCCTCAAGAACTGTGTGAAATAAATTTCTGGTGTTTGAGCTCCCTGGTCTGTGTTACTCTGTTATAGTAGCCCAAGGGGACTAAGACAAGTGTCTAACACAGGGGTGGGCAACCTTTTTGTGAGTGCATGGCAAAACCAGCAAAATCTCTGACTCAAAATTCTTCTGCATGCCAACCCTAATTTTTTTTTTTAAATATTTCTTTATTGATTTCAGAGAGGAAGGTAGAAGGAGAGAGAGATGGAAACATCAATGATGAGAGAGAATCATTGATCGGCTGCCTCCTGCACGCCCCCTACTGGGGACCAAGCCCGCAACCCAGGCATGTGCCCTTGGCCGGAATCGAACCCGGGACCCCTCAGTCCGCAGGCTGACGCTCTATCCACTGAGCCAAGTCGGCTAGGGCAAACCCTAATTTTTTGAGAACATGCTACGCCTACTTGATATCTCTTAAGGTGTACGTATGTGAAGAACCTTGAAGAAATAATAAAATTCATTCAAGCGACAAAAACACAGTATATGATGATGAAAAATACATTTATTTTTTAATGTATACATGTTATGTAAAATTATTTATTTATCTAAGATGCACCTACACTGAATTTATCTGAAAAATAAAAAAGTCGATATTAAGAAAAAAATTGTAAATGGAAGATTATAAGAGGGTTTCGAGTGCCAGCAAAAGTTACTGGTGTGCCATGTTTTGCACGGGTGCCAGGGGTTGCCTACCCCTGGTCTAACACATAGTAATCACTCTAAAATTTGGCAATCATTAGTAATTTACCACAACATATTTACTATTTAATCCTACACCCTCCCCACGGAACACTGAGATTCTTGATGGTAGGAACTATTTCTCAGTCATCTTAAACAGCTCCCAGAATGTGGAAGATGGTCAGTGAAAGGTATGTTGAATACATGAAAACCTGACCTTCATCTGTGTTCTCAAATTAATTGATGGGAACCTCAGTCCTTCTGTCAACTCCCCCTGGTCATCAATCTATGTGTATTCTTCCAGGGCCTCTGTCCCCATCTCCGCTGCCACTGCGAGTCCTCATCACATCTCCCCAACTAGGTTCTCTGTCAAGGTCATGATGTGTATCATCTCTAGCTTTCTTTCATTCAAAAGAAAAAAAAAATGATCTTGGTTGATCTTTGTTTTCTTCAGGTTGAAAGCCTCTGTTTGTTACCTGCTGCCTACAGAATAAAACCTACACCCTCCAGTATGATGTACAAGAATTTTCAAACTCTGGTCCCACCCTATACTGTCTCCTGCCACTTTCCTCAGTGCTCCTGCCACTGAGCTTCTAAAAGTTCAACAAACACACCAAGTTCCTATAACATCCAGTCCTTCCTCAGCCTGAAAGCTTTTCCCACCTCTGCTCCCAGAGTCTCTGTAATCCTTCAGTTATACTCAGCCAACCTGAGGGCTCACACCTCTGCAAGCCTTGCCTACCTCCCCCAGGGAAGCCTTGCGCTCCCTTTAATGATTCTACCAAGCTTTGTTCTTATCTCTTAATGACATTGATCAGCTTTTATTATTTATTTACCTGTATTTCTCTTCCATTAGATTACAATAAGTTCTTTAATCACATGAACTGTTGTGATTCCACAAAGTCCTTCTACAAAGCTTGACCAGTCATAGATATACAGAAAATTACTAGTAATCACCAAATCTAATCAATCTACTCAACAGATATTTCCTCCACTACTCTTTATTCAATACTGCATTAGAGCTTTAGCTAGAAAAACTAAAATGTTCCCTATGTAAATACAAGTTATTCAACTCTGAAACAAAAAGATTTCCTTTCCTGTTCTTTAGGAAATTGATTGGTTTAAGAAACACACAACAAGGTTCCTGGGAAGGTGGAGAGGAGTATAGAGAGGAGTTGATGATGGAGACAATTAATTTCTTTTTTCTAGTGAGGAAGTGAGACTTGCACATGCGTTCAAGACAATGAATTTATTTGTAGACCGAGATACCAACAGGGTTTCCGTACATGTGTGAAGCCATTTGCCATTTCCCTTTCTCCTGGCCACTTCTTGTATCTCTCCTCCTTCTTTTCTTCCAGTTCTTAGTTCTGGACACTTCCTGGAGCAAACTTGAGAAAGAAAAGTAAGAACTTTGGAGGGAGGGGGTAGAAACATGCCTTATGGATTACAATGAAGAAATAATTTGCTCTTGCACATTTTGCATTAATCCATGATTTGTTACCCCCAGACATAAGTCAGGCCACCTAATCGTCACAGTCAGCGGCCTCAACGCTATGCCGAGGCTGAGATGTGCTCTTCCACATCAGGAGCCCACACAGGGCCACAAAGAACAGCCAAGGCCACGGGGCGCTTTCCACCTGCCCTGTCCTGGTGAAGGCCAGCAGAGAGCTTCTCTCTCCTTTTTGCTCTGTTCATTTAGGAAAAAGATTAGAGAAACTCAAGGTAAAATAAATGCGAAGGGTTCTCTATCCAAGTGTAAAGTCAATGCTGTGGGGATGCTGCTGGAAGGGGACCTGGATTAAACCTCGGCCCTGCCGACTGATCGAGGGGCCTTGACTGAGACACTTGATTTCTCAGGAACTCGGTTTTCTTCCCTACAAACACGAAGATGATCATACAGACAATCTTTTCTGCTTAAGGGCCAGTAAGGACATGGGACTAAATAAAGGGCAGAATTCTACTAAATAAATAAAAAATGTAGAGCACATTGAAGAAAATCTGAATGTAATAAAGTCCAATTTAGGCAAATGAAAATGAAACATAATGGCCATATTAAAAATGCAGGCCAAATTCTCATTCTTTTATTCTCAAATTACAGTTCCAGCTGCTGATTATTGAGCATAAATGCAGTTTGGGAAGGAATCAGAATTATTTCCCAATATAGAGACGTGTAAAAACGGAAAAATTAAAATAAGTCATGCCAGGGTTCTTGTTTGTGCTTGAACATGTGCATAACTCCATGTCCCTTTACAATGGCTTTCTGTCCTTTACATAATTTTGTGTTTCATAATTAACACAATTAACTCTCTTTCACAGAAAAGAGAAAAAAATGTCTGCCCTTGGAGAAGCAAATTATCTGAACTGATTCCATTTCTACTTCCACAAACAAGTAGAGGAATTGCGGCTACATTCTTTTCCTAACAATTATAGACTGAGAAGGCTCCCTGTGTCAGGCCTCCCTCTTCATCCACCCCTCTCCCACTCTTTGGGAGAACCCAGCATTCGAAGGTGGATCCCCTGGATTACAGTGCCATGACCTTGGCTGTAGAGTTAGTCCTCGAGTTCGTAGATCTGCAAAAATTTGCAATTGAACTAGATAACTGGATAAATCTAAAGCCCAATAAATATGCTCATTCTGGTCTTTAGACTTTATTTCACTAACGGAAATAAATGAGAGTAATATTAGTTATATCAGGGCATCCCTAAAGCACTCATTGAGCGTCAATAATAAGAGTAACAATAACAATAAAATTTTATGGCTTTTTTTTTTCTCAAAGGAAATTGAAACACTTTACCAACATTATTGTCTCATTAATCTCATATCTTTGAAAAATAGTGCAGCCTCATGTGCACGGAAGGCTATGAGCCAGGGAGTCAGACAGACCTTTGCAGTAATGAGTAAATGAGATAATGTGCATCAAGGATGTGCTTGCGTGGTAAGCACTCAACACAATTATCTCTCTCCTTCGCTCTCCAGACCCACCAGCCATTTCTCCCTGATCGTCTGTCCCTTCCCTGCGCCAGCAACCCCTGCTCCCTCTCTTCTTTTGAAGAAGTGAGAACTGAGACAAGTTTGTTGGAATTTTTCTGTGTGTTTTTTTATTTGGCCCCAAAATACCCTGATCCTCTCAGAGAAGAAATCATAAAAGCTTAAGGTCACGATTTAACCGCCATGCATGGGCCACAGCGTCCAGATCCCACCTCATTCAAGTCTCCCAGGGTAGGTTAAGCAACTGTTCTCCGCAGTTCATCCTCCTCAGTTCGGATGTCTTAAGTTTGAGGCATCAGAATGCCTGTACTTCGGACACCTGGGTGAAACAGAAGATCTCTCAGTTGGTGTGCTCAAAGAAAAGTCAGAGTTTGGAGTAAAGACACATCTGTTGATAGAGAAGTTGGCCACCAGGAAGATGAGAGACTTAATGGTGTCTCAAATCCTTCTTGCTTGCTGCACTAGGTTAGGGGTTTATAAGAATTTAGGGGGAGCAGGTGCTGATGGGGGACCTTGGAGTTGGGCCATTTATGGTAAAGGGCGTCAGCACTGGATCTTCCTGGAAGTGGACCCTTCACTTCTGAAAACGTTCTGGTGTTCAAGTTCTGGTTGTGTTTGATACTTTGGTTCCGTGGAGGTAGAGGTGAGACTTTGGTTCGGGTGCAGCTGAAGTCGCATCTCTTCCACGCATGCCCGGGCTGCATGACTTGCAGTTTTGGTCTGTGCTTTCTGAAAATCAACTCAGTATCTCATCAAACAGGACAGGACCATTTTGAGCTCATTTTGCAGTTATAGAGACAGGTCAAAAACTAGCATGGAACGCAACCTACAATTCCAAGAACTCAAGCAACTTCATGACAGGTTCTCCCTATGGGTCTCCCTAGGCTGCCCCAAACCTTTACTTATGTCTTGTTGAACCATCATAGCCTTGCCCTGGGGCATTTTGGGGAAAACTACACGTCCAGTGGAGTCGGGATGTCAAACAGTGAGCTGTGCACCACGTGAGGCCAGCCTGGTGGGGTGGGTGCTGCTGGTGGTGGGAGAAGCAGAAATAATGACAAGAGCCTCGGCACTTTGAAGGGCGGAATGACGTCAGGTCTTTAAGGTTAAGTTGAGACTTTTCCCCCACTCCACACATCTTGAGTGAAGATTATCTTTCCATTTCCAAACTAGTAGACATGAGAGCGTTATAACTGCAACATGTGCAGTTTGATCTCACAGGAGATCGTGCAATACATGGCGTTTTCAAAATACCTATAGATGAAGTAAGTTACTCAGGACTCAATCACATAGCTCTCCGCAGGTTTTGCCCAGAAAGAGGGGTATTCAATGACAGTGTTATTCAGACATATATTTGGACAGCCTGATAACCCAGGAAGGCTGGTGGGACACTATACTCTACCCCTATGATGGCTTGGAGAAATCGAAATCATGGGGCTAGGAGCTGGCAGCAAATTTCTCCAAATCTTTGTGGAATTGTGAGGTCTAGGGATTGGCTTGAGCACCATCTTCATTTTCTATAATTCTATAAACACACACACACACACACACACACACACACACACACACACACACACAGAAATTATAAGAAACACTAGAGGCCCAGAGCACAAAATTCATGCACTGGGGGAGGGGAGTCCCTCAGCCTGGCCTGTGCCCTCTTGCAGTCGGGGAGCCCTCGGGGGATGTCCAACCTACGGCTTAGGCCAGCTGTCAGTCAGACATCCTTAGTGCTGCTGCGGAGTCAGGAGAGGCTCCTGCCACCACTGCTGAGCTCTCCAACCATGAGCCCAGCTTCTGGCTGAGCAGTGCTCCTCCTGTGAGAATGCACTGACCACCAGGGGGCAGCTTCTGCTTTGAGTGTCTGCCCCTGGTGGTTAGTGTGTATCATAGCAACCGGTCTTTCTGCTGTTCAGTCTATTTGCTTATTAGTCTTTTATTACATAGGACTAGAGGCCCGATGCATGAAGATTCATGCAAGAATAGGCCTTCCTTCCCCTGGCTGCCGGCACCACCTTCGCTCCAGCCTGAAGTCACCTTTCCGTCTTCGCTCTGGCCCGGAGCCACCTTTCCGCCCTTCTACGCTGCCCAGAGGCCCAGAGCGGCTGGGGTGGTGCAGAACACCTGCATCATCGCCATGGCGATGACACAAGCGTCCCACCCGCCCCCGGCCACTCACTGTCGATGTCTGTGCACATGTGTGCTGCCCACAGGCTTGCCATCTTTGTCGGGTTAATTTGCATACTCACTCCTGATTGGCTGTGTGTGTCACGAATGTATGGTCAATTTACATATTTGTCCATTATTAGTATGGATAGTTCCTGAAATAGAGTGAATGGGAGTTCAGTGTGTGTGTGTGTGTTTTAGAAAAGCAATGGACTTGACAGTGGGCACTAATATATGAGGCAGTATTTTAAGAGGAAATTTGCACAGCTTGGCTCAAATAACTACAAGGAAAGAAAATGATAATGCCCCATTCCAAGGTTGTAGGTTTTAAAGACAGAAGGGCAACAGAAAGTGTGGTTGCACTTTTAAAGCCTGCAACCAAGCAGAACAATGTGAAATTAGGCAAGAGGAAAGCTGGCCTGCTCCCAGCGGCATTTTCTCAGCGGGAAGATCATTACCGAGAGTCAGTCTCCCCGGGACAGCTGGAAATGCTTGGCTGCTGTGTCATTTCACACTAAGTACATAAAGCTGCCGCAGGAGTGACCTGACAGTCTCCTGCCTCTAATTTCTGTGATTTAAAGGTTCTGTGCTATTACCCAGCAAGAGGCATTGCTTGTGTGTGATTCCATTTGTAAAATGACCCTACAGGTGTTTTTCGGAGCTTCCACCTGGGCAGAGCTCTTTATGTCCCCCCCGCCCCCCCCCCCCACCTATTGCAGTGAGATTCTAGATGAGAACATTCAGCATCTCGGGTTTGGGGGTTAAACAGGAGAAAAAAAATTAAGAGCAAAGGAAACTGGAGGAAAGGTGAGAAGATCATTACTCTCTAGCGAGTCTCTCCGCATCTAAATGGAATTTTGATTTACACACCACGTTCCTGTAAGAAAGCTGTGCCGAGTGCAGAAACACTGCACATTCATTTTCCTGTTGGCAAGGCTAATTTCACCCTAGTTCATTGGCATTCTCAGGTTGTAATAGCGTTCTTGAAGAAGTAACAGGGCGGTGACAATCTTTGAATGGCACCAATTATGTCTGACTCGTTAAGTCTTTTAACAACAATTTCTGGGATGCTGTCTGTGTGTGCCCTTTACCTGATCTGTGTAGAGCTTGCTCTTTTGGTCCAGATGGTCTTGGATACCCAAGATGACAAACCTGCAGAAAGCAGCCCTTGCTGGTTTTCAATGATAAGTACAAGGGTTAGCCTGACTCTTCCCCCTGTTGTGGGTAATTGTGAATGGGACCCATCGTTACATGAGAGAATATCGCTGGTGCAACGCACTTCATCGGGGTCCAAAGCTGAGTTTGGTAGATAGAATAAAACCTTTTAAACCGGATTTAATGTTTTAGGCTCGAGAAAGATAGTCAGGGGGCTTCACCAGTTACTCAGCAAGACTATCAGTGAGCATTGGGGCTCCAAGCGAATAAAAACAATTTGTCACAGAACCCCAGCTTCTGGGAACCCCCCCCCCAAGAAAGAGAACAAAACAGTATCTATTTTCTTTTCTGTCTGCTAACACGCCCACACATTGTCTCAGAAGCTCAACCAACCTGGAAACCTGAATGTAGCAAAGCAACCACAGCAACCAAACAGCAGAAGACAGAAGAATAGTTGTCGGACTTCGACCCTCAGGCCTGGATGGGATCCCACCGCTCCAGCCTTCACTGAAGTCCCTGAGCCCATTTTCCCGCCGCCCAAGCCTGTGACTGCGGACTCCGCTGCTCCGATTCAGGGCCCCTCTCGCCAACGGACCCACCCACAGCGTCACAGCCTGGTTTCCTTCCATTTGACCTGTCCATGAGTTTTTCAACGTTCCTTTCCTGGCACTTTGCATGTAACACCCTGGAGCACTTACTATTAATATTTGTACATAATTATCTCTGACATAGAATACGGAAACTGAAAGAAAGGGACAAGGTCTAAATTGCTTTATATTATGTCCTTCCAAAATTTGGCCCAGAGTTAGTAATTAAAAAAAAAATAAGTTAGTTGAATGAAGAAAATAAACAAATGAACTTGTTGAGAAATGTATCCCTGTTTACTGTTACCGAGGGATCAAGGGAATATCTAAAGCTTTGAGTATAACCCTGCATCCTATTTCTGAGATAAAATTGAATTGTTGTTGTTACCATATACTTACCAAGAAGTTGGCAAGCAACTTGGAAACTTCTTCCAACGAGGATCTCAAGGCCCCTCATTATAGCCGATTTCTCCTCTGCACAGCTGTTAAACATCTGATATATACTAAGCTTATGTATGCCCCTTAGAAATGTCCACACACTTTGAGATTGGTTCTAGTTCATGAGTCTGTTTAGGAAAAAACGTGATTACTATTAAAATTAGAAACAAGACAAAGATTCTATCTCTGTTGGTATTCGACATTGTAGAAGGTATCTTAGCCTATACAATAAAAGAAGGAAAAGAAATAAGTGATGGAAGAATTAAAAGGAAAATATAAAATTGTCCTTAAAACATGCCAGTGTTCAAAAAATTCCAAGCAAATTACTATTACGCTATTTGAGCCAGTGAGGGAATTCAGCAAGGTTGTTTCATAAAATAGTCACTAGTATCAGTATAAATCAGTGATAAATGCTTAAAGGTGCAGTTGACCAGAGAGCCCATTTACAATCGCTGTAAACTAATGACATAGGCGTAGCATGCACTTTGCATTGCCTGCAAAGCAGACATCCACTCCCATCTTCTGTGCTGATACAACTCTGATGCGGTCAGACTCTTTCCTTCAAGGAAGGGGTCGCCATTCCCAGCTCAGGAGTCAATTCTAAAAGGCCAGAGTCAGTTGTTAATGTTGACCATTCTCTTCGCTTATGATGGGTTTAGGGAAACCAGCGGTGTATGGACAGCACCTGGATTCTGATCATTTGAGCCACTGAATGGACCATTGCTTAGAAAACCACCCTGGAAATAATGCAGCACAATGAAATGAACTTCCTTTATTGTTTAAGCTACGTAACAAATAAGAGAAGCAAACTACTCATGTACGTTAATTGCAATACACCTGACCGATTAAGAATGCACATCCAGAAGAAAAGAAAAGGAGGGTGAGGGAGAAAGAGCTAGAGCTCTTATAAAGTAAAACAGAAAAATTAGCAAAGGATATGAACGGGGAATTTACAGAACAGGACAACAGAATATTCATGAACATATGAAGACTGTCTAACTCAGCAAAAATCAGAGAAATGTGGACTGAATGATGAGTGTAATTTCCAGCTCATAGCTGGCAAAGAACAAGAGTCTGACAAATTAAAGGCACATTGATAAAGGTGTGGATAATTGCAGTGCAAGTTCCTGGGAGCAGGGACTTGTTCTGTTGCAGTTTTTGTAACTAGAACAGCACCTGGCACATAGTATAAACTCAAAATGAAATGATTATCGTAGCTAAATTTACTGAATCTATATTTTTTAAATCTAAAACAAATATGATAACATTTTATATTTGATAACTGTATGTGTGACAATTCTCATCATGGAATGTTGCTGTAGTTTATAATTTAAAAATAAAGGCCTCTTATTCAATAAAATACCTACTCTAAAACATAGGTTTGGGTTATGGGAAGGGCCAGATAATAAAAGAAATGAGGAGAAGAGACCAGATAAAGACAGATCTTTTCCTTAATTTCACCTGACACAATAATAATCAATTCTTTACTAATAAGTGATTAGAAATTAATATCGTAACCTTATCATAATTCTGTCCATTGTAAACAATGTGCTCATATATGTTTGCATGCTGAAATTAATTGTATAAAGTAAATATAATTTTATTCCAAAATTAGGGACTTAATCATCCTTAATAAGTTCCTTTCCTGTTTTTATAATGTGATGGGCTAAAAAAATTATATAGATTACATTGATATCTACAACAATTCAGTCAAGATAAGTAACTCTTTTTTTTTTTAGAAAAAAATTCTTTGAAGCTTCGTGTTTGCCTTTTATCCATGTACATGGTCTCAATTTGACAACATAGATTTTCCATTTTTCCTCTTCTCATTCAACTTAATTTAAGTCCTTGCTATTTAGTAGATATTCTTGGAATACAATGAAAAATAATAAAGATAACAATATTATATAATATTTGGTAATATATTTATTATAGCAAGAACTAACACTTAGATAGTACTTATTATGCCCAAAAACTGTTCTAAGAGTTTTACGTACATTATGTTCATTTAATTGTCACAACAACCTTCTGGGAAATAGAAGAGATCTAAGTAAAAAAGGCACAGAAAGGCTAAGCAGCTTGCCCAAGGTCACTCGGGTCAGCTTCCTGGGCATGCGACCTGTGCAGTGCTTTGAAGGACATCATATGTAGAAGATTTGATGCTCTACTCTCCCTGTCTCAAAATTCTTAATCAGTTTTGAACTGAGTTTCCTGCATTTTAATTTTGTGTTGAGCCCTGCGAACACTGTAGCTGATCCTCCTCAGATTGGAAGTGTTGGCTCCTGAACTCGTCATTAATCACTACACTCTACTACTCTCTTGAGACAGACAGGAGATGATTTTTATGTATTTAACAAATATCAACTACACTTTACGTAGCAGGCAGGATTCTAAACATTGAGGATACAATGATGACAAGGTAGGAATGTCCCCATAATCATGAACCTTCTTTTAGATAATAAAGGCATGAATAGCATAACAACATAGGATTGTGATACATTCTCTAAGAAGAATTAAACTAGAGTTATAAGATTAAAAGTACCTGGTGGCTGCTATAGACTGACCAAGGAAAGATGGTCCTTAATATAATTTAACTAAGAAGACACCACTCAAAAATGGTCTGAAGAAAGCATGTTTCACTTAGTTCTGTTCTTTATTGTTCACCATCATGGGGGAGGGAAGCAAATATTTCCTAGCCTCTAAAATGGAGTATTATTATAACACTAGAGGCCTGGTGCACAATATTCGTGCACAGGAGGGGGGGTCCTCAGCCCAGCCTGCACCCTCTTCAATCTGGGACCCCTTGGGGATGTCCGACTGCCAATTTAGGCCTGATCCCCCTGCTAGCAGTTGGATAGCTCTCTCACAATCCTAGACTGCTGGCTCCTAATTGCTCACCTGCCTGCCTGCCTGGTTGCCCCTAACTGCCCCCCACTGACAGCTAGGTTGCCCCCAACTGCCCCAACTGCTGGCCTAGTCACCCCCAACTGCCCCCCACTGCCAGCCTGGTCGCCCCTAACTGCCCCCCACTGCCAGCCTGGTCGCCTCGTACTGCCCCCCCTGCCAACCTGGTCACTCCCAACTGTCCCCCCTGCCATCCTAGTCACCCCTCATGGACCCCCCACCGGCCTGGTCACCCCACGCAGCCTGCTGTTCAGTCATTTGGTCGTCCCTCACTAACCCCCCTGCTGGCCTGGTCATAGGCAGCCATCTTATGGGGGTGTGATGGTCAATTTGCATATTACCTCTTTATTATATAGGATTCTCTTCTTCATGTGTTATGCTTTATAAAAATTTGATTCCTGCCTAATTCATTTTTCAAAATGGAAATGCTATCAGAAGATCCATTGAGAAAGCTTCATATCTTATATTTAAGTGTCAAAGGAATTTGTGCATGATTTATGTGCCTGAGATCTGGCCATATTACTAATTAATTGCAATGAGAACAAGAGAGAATTGATTAAAATATTGACTCATCAGGTCTGGGCTGCCCTGTCCTCTGCGTGGTGAGCAGCCCTGCAGTTGCGCAGTGTGGCATCACTAACCAGAAGGTGACTTACAGCATCTGCTTTGCAAAGTCAGTCAAAATATAAAATATTATAGCTTAGACCTTTTATTTTACAGACAAAGAGTCTAAGGGCCAGTACGTTTATTTAGATCAGAGAGAAGGGGGTTGGGGGAAGATAGAAGGGGGTAATAAATGGTGATGGAAGGAGACTTGCTTGGGGTGGTAAACACACAATACAATATACAGATGATGTATACAGAATTGTACATCTGAAACCTATATAATTTTATTAACCAATGTCACTCCAATAAACTCAAAAGAAATTTAAAGGCAGTTTAGGCCTTCTGGTTTCTACCCATGATTTTTTTTTTTAAGTCCAAAAAGAATGACCAATTAAAGATGAACCATCAGGACACATTCCTGTTGAAAAGAAGGACCATGGAGCAATTCAGGATCATCACAAAAATAAAAGAAAGATACTAATAATTATTAACACATCTTGCTGAATTAATAACCGCATTCACATATTTTTAAACACTGCCACTTTTATAATAGTGACCAATTATTTGCAATTAGAATCTACTTTCCTATAGTTATCAAGCTCTGTGTTACTGAAAATGACAAATAGGCCATGGAAATTTGAATAAACAAGAGATACAGTCAGAAATATGAAGCCCCTTGTCTCCGAAGGACCTTGCGGGAAATTTTGCTCAGCTCACCTCATGTCGTGTTCTCATCTATTTGAGAACGTATTGGCTCTCCCGGGCTTCTTTTTAGGGATAGAAAATAATTTTCTTAAACTCAATTACTTTTGAATGAAATCAGTATATTTTCAGCATACCCAAAATAAAATAGAAACACCTAGGAATGAGGGGGCAGCGAGCTGCCATGGTTTTTAAGCCACAATTTATAAAAAGACTCGGTTGCAGAGAGATCCCTCAGTGGCAGGATGGCTGTGGGGTGGATCTGGCGGGGACTCACTCTGGTGGATCTGGGGGGACTCTGGTGGATCAGAGTTCATGAGAATGCGTTCTGCTATTTTTTCTACATGTTCGGATTCAAAGAGAAACGTGTATTAAACACAATGTTTGATAACCAGAAATCTATCACGCTGTGCTTCTCTTACCTAAGTGTTTTGTTGTTGCTGCCAGGAAGAGGAATAGATGTTAAACTTTTTCAGAAGACATACACACAAGTAACGAGAGAGAAAGAGAGAGGAGAATTTATTGAAAGTGTAGTGGGTTCTCCTAGAACCCCACGGAGAACCTACAACAGCATGGATTGGGTCGGGCGAAGGCCAGACACGGAGGAGCTGCCCAGGGCTGCTGAGTTCATGTGCATCCAGTCCAGCAACCCAACCAGACAGAGCAGCTGCCCTTGGTCCACCCATCTGAAATCCCAGGTGGATCTGAGAACCTTTGCTGAGTAACGTGCCAATGTGGAACAATTAACAAAGGTCAAGGTTCATGAGGCTCCAAAGTGACTGCCGAGGACTGACCTCTATAGCGGAGCAGGTCCCTTTAAAGAAAGGTGGGCTTGGCAGATACTCGACTCTCAATCCCAGCACTTGTCTTCCTAGCAGTTAGGAGACCAGCCATGTCACGTTCTTGGATATGAGGTCAAGGTCATTGCCATGGGTTGAACTGTGTCCCACCAACAGTTGTACGTTGCAGTTTGAACTCCAAGGACCTCAGAATATGATCTTATGTGGAGCTAGGGTTTTTACAGAGGTCAAGTTGTAGCGAGGTCATTCGTGTGGGCCCTAATCCAATATGACTGCTGTTTTTATTAAAAGGGGAAATTTGGGCACAGACATGCTCAGAGGGAAGAAGACATGAAGACATGGAGAACGCCGTGTGAACGTGCACATGGCCGTCGGCAAGGCAAGGAGAGGGACCTGAAACAGATCCTTCTTTCCCAGGGCCCGGGAGGCACCAGCCTGCCACAACCTGGTTTTGGACTTTGGCCTTCCGTGAGGCAATTCATTTCTGTTGCTTAAGCCACCCAGTCAGTGGTACTGTTATGGCAGCCCTTACAGAGGAATATGGTTATCTTAAGAGATAGTCTCTTTCTGTAGGTTACATAAATTCATCATTCCACTCCCCGGAGGGGAGGGGGAAATTGAAGCATCAGGCCACTTAGATGACTGCGCTTTCAGAAAAGCCACTTAAACTTTCTGCAAGCCAGTTTCCTCATCGTCAGTGCAGCCCCACTGCCTCAGCTACCTCCAGTTTGGTTGTGATGTTTCCAGGATAAGTCGAGAGCTTGTATTAGAGAGTTCTCTGAAGAATGCCAAGCTGTCTGACTGAAATACCTATTTCTGTTATGAAAAAGTAGACAACATTGCATCTATTTTACTTCTAGCGGTCTAATACAACGAAATTAGATAATGAAAAATGTATAATAGAGTCATTTCAAGCATTATTACGTTCTCACATTAAAAAGGTGGAGGAAAATAGGACATCTTCAATTCAACTTAAGTTTATAGTACCATTTTCTTTAAAGTTTGATGATTTTCCTCAGCTCTGTTATGATTGCTTTTTCCCGATATTTCTAAAAACTTTTCCATTTTACCAAGAGTTGAATAATCTGATTAAGAAAATTAAAAAGATTAATGAGAATCTTTTTATCATTTAAGAAACTTGGAAGGATCCTGTTACATTACTTTGTATCAAAATATACTAAAAACACTTTTGCCCTGGCCAGTGTGCTCAGTGGTTAGAGTATCAGACTGAGCAATGAAGGGTCACGGGTTCTATTCCCAGTCAAGGGCATGCATGTGCCTGGGTTGCAGGTTAGATCCCTAGCCTCTGTAGGGGCAAATGTGGAGGCAACCAATTGATGTGTATCTCTCACATCTATGTTTCTCTCTCTCTCTCTCTCTCTCTCTCTCTCTCTCTCTCTCTCTCTCTCCCACCCTCCCTCCCTTCCACTCTCTCTAAAATTCAATAGGAAAAAATATCCTCAGGTGAGAATTAACAAAATATATAAATACATATGTATATATAAACATTTTTATATAGAAATGTCATTCCACATTAACTTTAGCCCGGAGCCTCTTATGGTGACTCTGTGAACGCCACAGATTGGATTTCAGCCTCATTAGGCAAGTACGTGCACATACACGCGCTCTTGCAGTTCCTGTGCTTGATCTGCTCCTCCTGACCCATGCGGTGCTTTTACTGGTGTAATACTAGATCAGAAGCCGTCTCATCTCCATGCTGCATAGAGATGCAATTATTGGGTCTGTTTCCCTTGACAGCATGGAAGTTGCTTGAGAGATTTTTGTTGCTTTGTGGAAACTCCCTTGAAATTAATAGTGAGACTTGATCTTGGAAGGTGGCTTATACTGTGAGTTTGCAAAGCCTCAGGTGGATAAAATGCAGTTTCACTGGTCCATGCATTGAGGTCCATTACGGATTCCAAGTGATGGACACATGTGGCCTGGGCTGAGGACATTTCTATTATTACTACATTCACTGCGCTTTTCAGGTTGAAGTGATAAGTTCAATTTAATTTTTTAATTAACTGAAAAACAAACTATGGATTTATAACATACATCCTTAAAATGACCTAACTTTTCTCAATTCTTTGTAAATAATAAGTCAATATAGTATTGACTAAGTTCACTAGTGACATTTAAAAATAATTTATACCCAACATTATAAAAATAGCTCATATGTTTTCTCATTATTCTTCTCTGCTGAATAATTGAACCAAATATCTAACAGAGATACTGACAGACTCGACAAAGCAGTTGTTTATCATGGTTCTGCTTATACGCATAGCTTTGCAGGACTATGTGCTAGAAAATGCTAAAACGTTAGCCCTTCATGTTTCCTTCTATAAACAGGTGAGTTGACATTCCCCATAAAATAACAGTATGTTGAATGAGTGAATGAATGAATGAATGAACAAATGAACCCATCAACCATCTGATGCTTAGTCAAGCATCAATAACTTCAAGGCCCTCCATTCCTTGGAACCAAACTTTCCAACCTGACTTATCATACTTCTTCCTTGTGTGGACATTGGGCCTTCCTTGTCCTTGGATACTTTCTGTTCCCATTTCTGTCAGTTGCAAACCCCTCCATCCTTCAAGCTGCATCTGAAAGTCAGTCTGGCAAAGTGACAAAGGCTTAGGCTCCAGATTCAGACAACTAGTTTTAAATACCTGCTCAGTCCCTGTCAAACTCTATGAGCTTGAGCAAGTTCTCTAAACGTTAACCACTTTTTAGTCTATGAAACACAGATAATAATGGTATTAACCTAGTAGGTTTATTTTAATGACTAAGAGGTACTCGACACAAAGGGTGATCACCTGGTAGGTTTTTGATGGATTCGAGCTGGGAAGTCCTTGGATGGCATTGGCTTTGTGACGCCTTCCTTGTGTGCCACATCCCGGTAACAAAGTGAAGTATTTCCCCAACTCATTTGTCCACTGGAATCACGGGGAGAATCTTTAAGTATCCAATCCCTAGGGCACAGAGCAGCACAATCAATCAAATCACAGTCTTGGGTGGGACAGAAGAGTTGCTAATTTTTGAAGTTTCCTCGGTGATTCCACTCTGCAGACAAATCTATAAATAGGGCACTGGTGTCTCCCCAATCTTCCTGATCATAAGGATCACCTGGAATATTTACTACGTAATTAAAGGAGCCTCTATACCAGTGGTTCCCAACCTTGGCTGCACATTAGAATCACCTGGGAATCTTTTTAAAATCCTGTTTTCTGGGCCTCATCCTCCAGAAATTCTGTTTCTTTGTTATGGGGTGGGGCCACAACATTAGTAACAAAGAAACAGAATTTCCGGAGGATGAGACCCAGAAATCAGGATTTTAAAAAGATTCCCAGGTGATTCTAATGTGCAGCCAAGGTTGAGAACCACTTCTCTACACCTAAGAACCTGAATCTTCAAGGCTGAGACACGGGGACCTGTATTTTTAAAGTGTCACAGGTATATGTCCTCCTCAGGAAAGATTGGACACAAATTATTGCCATATTGGATGTTCTTCTATATTAGTTTGTCTTGATAACTTATAAGTTCTTCAACACAGGGACAGTATCTCTTTCAATTTTGTATTTCCTAATGCAATACATGTTTTGAATTGAGCTGAATTAAATAACATAAAAGTAATGATCATAAACCCGTCTCCTAATTGAAGCATTTCCAATTTGTATTAAAGAGAGAACGTTGGGCCCTAGCCAGTTTTGCTCAGTGGACAGAGCATGGGCCTGTGGACTGCAGGTCCCAGGTTCGATTCCAGTCAAGAGCACATGCCCAGTTTGTGGGCTCGATCCCAAGAGGGTGTGTGCAGGAGGCAGCCAATCAATGATTCTCTCTCATTATTTATGTTTCTATCTCACTCTCCCTCTCCCTTCCTCCCTGAAATCAATAAATATATATATATATATATATATATTTTAAAAGAGTGGACGCTAGTATCCAGAGTACAATCACTTGCACATAATCTGACATCTGTAAATTGTTGGCATTAGCCTCAGCTTTACCACCAAGATTCAGAACCTTGGAAAGCCACTTCGCCGCCTGGGCCTCAGTTTCCTTATAAATATAATGTCAGACATCTACATGTGGATTAGATGAGCTCTCTACAGTTTATTCATATTGAATGCAAGCTATGTCCAGATTTTTCAATTGAATTTATTGAGGTGACATTAGTTAATACAATTATATAGGTCTCAGGGGCACAGTTCTACACCACATCATCTGTAAATTGTATTGTGTGTTCACCACCCCGAGTCAGTCTCCATCCATCACTGTTTATCCCCCTTTATCCTCTCCTACCACTCCTCACCCTCCTCTGTCCAGATTTTATTAAGTATAAACTCAGAGAACCTGAAGCTGTTTCCCTATTTTAAAATTCCACTCTTAATCATTCTTCCTGGAAACAATTCCATCACTTTTCTGAAGCCAAATAGGCTCTCTCATTTCGTGTTGCTCTTTAGCCCCCACAGATGAAATGCGCTCAGAGCCTGACAGCCGCTGCCCTTCCGACAGGAGCCGTGGCCACCCGGATCGCACTTTGCCACCCGCACAAATGTTGATGCTTCTTTTTATTCTGAAGCTTCTCTCTCGCTGTCTGGTTTGTGAATTATGTGTCTGCATTCTGTCTTGTTCTGTTTCCTGCCAGAATGTTCACTCCTCACTAGTCAGCCATTCTTTATCCATAGAGACACACGATCATCGCCCTCATTGGTAATCCTCCCTCTGTTCCAAATGAAAAAAAAAAAATTCATTTTTCTTGCTGTGTTTAAGCCCATCTCTTCTCATTGATCGGTGACGCTGGCATTATGATAAAGATGACCTACCTGTAAGACCTGGCACATGTTATTTAACCCACCTGTGCAGAGGTTGCCTTCTCTCTGGTCTGGTTACTCACAGATTGTAGCAGAGTCGTCTTCAGAAAGGATTCCAGGTATCAGGGTCCACTCCTTTCTAACCAATGCCTAGCTTTCATATAAGAGACCTGATGAGGCTGTGAATTTACCTTCAGTGACCCCGACAATTAAATTTGTTTCTGATTGTTCAGCAAGAGTATCATAGAACTCGGCAAATGAGAGATGACGTTTAGGTTCACCACAGAAGTTCTCTGGTTTTCCGAATGTGAACTGAGTCGTGGCTTGAGAGTTTAAAGATCTGCGGTATCATCTTTCTGAAAGGGCTTCCTTGCACCAGGACCCACCCTCGCGCTCCGGTTTGCGGTCACCGTTGGAGCCATAACAGGGAGACCCAGCAGCCCCTTGAGCTTTCCAAACACTTTCCAAACACAGCACCACCCATTGTGGGCGCTGAGGCTGTTCATCTCAGTGTCGACAAATGCCCTGGCTAAGTTGGATCCCATGTTTTGGGGGTCCTTTTGGCAAGAGTCTCAGCAATGCATTCAAGGTTAGCTCAAAGAGAAAACTGAACCAATTCCTATCAACAGCACAAACCTCTGAAAAGACAAGCACATGCTGGGACAATATATGTGCAAGGCAAGGAACTACAAATGATTCATAACTGAAATATGAAACATTCTACAATTAGTAAGAGAAAAACTGAGAACAGAAGATAAAGTTGGCAAAGGCATATGAACAGCCAACGGTACAGGGAGCTGGCCAGTGATGCCTGGTCACCTGACTGAGTACTGAATCCTCAGGTGTGGTTCTTTTTAACTGTAACTCTTTTGTCTTAAAATATAATTTGCTGATATTAATATAATAATAAGTTTCTTTTGGTTAACATCTTCTGAGTAGCTTTTCTTTTGGCTATCTTTATGTATCCTCAAGTTGTTGGGTCTAAATTGCATATAGCTGATTTTTTAAAATATAGTCTACATATTTGTTTTCACTGGTGAGAACAATTCATTTCTATTTACTGTAATCATTACCTTATTTCGAACGCCTTCTACCATCTTACCTTGTGGTTGCTATGTGTTCTGCTTTTATGATCTCTTTTTCTTTCCTGTTATGCTTCTTTTGGGTTATTATTTTTTAATATTTTATTTCTCGTCTTTATTCTTGAGAATGTATACTGCCTATTTTTTCCAATGGCTATTTCAAACTTTTTGATACTGAACTTAAAAGTTGAAATTTTCTCTATGTAATCTTTTTTTCAAACAACAAAGCATGTTATAACACTGAGTCTAGCCAACTCCATCCAATCTTTAATACTGTCATTGTGCTGCATTTTGTATCTGTCTGGTTTATTTGTTTGAAAATATAGACATTGTTATTTTATACATTTAATATTTTTATGTTGACTGAAATGTTTAGCCTATGGATATTTTGTTCTTCATTTAATATGCCATCTAATACTCTCTAGGATAACATTCCTTCTTTCTGAAGTTCCTTTAGTGAGGATCTGTTGGACATAAGTTCAGTTTTTATTTGTTCTCAGTTATTTCACTCTCATTCTAGAAAGAGAAAAAAAAATGCCAGATTTTTTTTTCTGAGCACTTTGAAAGTACCCTTCCACTTTCTTCTGGCTTCCATTGTTAAGAAGTCTGCTGTTGATTTTATTTATGTCTACATAATTTTGAGATTTATTGAAGGGATATTCTAAAATCTGACTGTAAGTTTCCCTGATTGGGGAATTTACTGGGATTTCTAGTACGGCCTAGTATATCATCAATTTGATAAATGTTTTAAGGGAAACAAAAAAGATGAAATATTTTTAAAAGAAGAAATGTCAATTATAGTTCTAATAATTATATCTATTATTTAGAGTATTCTATGGCCCCATGTGTTTTATCATTTGTCAAAAATTGAAAGTGGAAATAACAGTCCCAAAACTGTTGCCCTGCTTGACTTCCCCTTTCTCTAGCAGTTTCTGCTCTGTATATGTCAATACCATACTTTTGATTCTATTATCAATTCAGCATGAATAGTGAATTTTTATTTTTCTTCTATTTTATTTTGGAGTTATGTTTCAGTGGATAGTCATGGTCCTGCTCCTTTAGTTGTTGCTTGCCCATCCTTCCTTTTACTGATTATTTTTGCCATATTATTTTGGGTTATCTTTTGTGTATGATGTTGACTTAGATATTTTGGAGTGGCCACATTTAAATCTGAAATGTTTAGCCTCTAGATATCTTTGTTGAAGATAAAAAGGTCAAACAGTGAGTTTAACCTTTTTAAAAATGTGTGCTTATATATGAAATAGTCATATCTTCTGAGTTTTATGCTCGGTTTATTTTATGTTGTTCCCTTTCTTAAAATTTATCCTTATTGTTGAAAGTATTACATATGTCCCCTTTTTTCCCCATTGACCCCTCCACCCTGCACTTGCTCCCCTACCCCCTCGCCCCCCGCCCCATCCAGGTCTTCATGGCACTATTGTCTGTGTTCATTGGTTACGCATATATGCATATAAGTTCTTTAGTTAATCTATTCCTGCCCCCTACCCCCCTTCCCTTTGAGATTCGTCAGTCTGTTCCATGCTTCTGTGTCTCTGGATCTATTTTGTTCATCAGTTTATTTTGTTCATTGGCCTCCACATATGAGTGAGGTCATGTGATACTTGTCTTTCTCTGACTGGCTTATTGTGCTGCTTCCTTTTACTTGTCTTTCTCTATATAGACATTTTATTTGCTTAGTTTTTGTAGTGATTTAGCTTTTACTGATTACTTGAAAATAAACATTTAAAAAACATACTGTAATATGTGCATTTAAATTTTTCTATATCGGTGCCCAAGTGTTACCATTGACTTCCTCCTATGAGAGATGAGAACTTAGCTTCTTCACTTCCTCTCTTCCTGCCACCAAACACCCCACCGCCTTGTTCTAACCAAAGATAATTCGGATTCTTAGCTCAAACAGGGTACTAATACACGCTCTAGATATTCTCTTTAAAAAATGGTTTTGAATTAAACAATGCTCAAATAATCTCAGTGTTTACTGCTGTCATTTTGTACCATAGCTTCCTCACTTCTGTGATCTCTATTTTAATTAATTTCTTGTTCGACTGGTGAAACTTTTTTCTTTTTTTCAGAAGTGAGTGGTGTGGGCAGTGTATTTCCTAAGAATTTGCATATGAGAAAGGAACTTTCTGTATGGGCAAAGCACATGACCAGTCATCTGGCTGACACAGGGTTTTTCGGTGGCAACATTTTCCCTCGAGAAAACTCTTTCTCCAT